GCCGCCTCCCTCCCCCCCGCGCCGCACTGAGCCGGTCCCGGGTGCTGGGGGAGACCCGGGGGCAGGTAAGGGGGGCGGTGGAGGGGGGAAGCGCGGAGGGTCTGGGGAGAGGAGGGAGGCCGCGAAGCGTGAAGGGCTGGGGGAGGTGGTGGGAGGGTGTGGGGAGAGGGTTTGGGGTGAGGGGTGTGCGGGGTTGGGAGGTGGGAGAGGGTTTGGGGTGAGGGAGGTGGGTGGCTGTGGAGGTGGAGAGGCCGAGAGGAGCTGTGGGGTGGTGAGGAGAGGGGTGAGGAGGCTTGGGGAAGGAGAGGTGGGCTGTGGAGTTGAAGGGATGAGATGTGGGGTTGCGGGGGGTGTTTGGGATGAGGGAGGTGGGGGCTTAGGAGATCAGAGAGGGTTTGGGTGAAGATGGTGAGGGGCTCTGGGGGAGAGGGTGAGGAGGCTTGGGGTGAAGGAGATGGGCTGTGGAGTTAATGGCATGAGATGTGGGGCTGTGGGGAGAGTGTTTGGAGGGAGGGAGATGTGGTTTTGGAGGAAGGAGGGTTTGAGGTGATGGTGGTGCTCTGTGGGGTAGAGTTGGAAGGAGTGTGAAGAGGATTGGGGAGAGGGTTTGGGCTGAGGGAGATGGGCTCTGGAGATGAGTAAGGAGCTGAGAAGGGAGATATGGGCCTGTGGAGAGAGAGTTTGGGGTGCAGTAGGTGAGGGACCATGGAGGTGGGAGAGGGTTTGGGGTGGAGGTGATGGGTGGCCCTCGAGATAGGGAAGCAGAAAGGAGCTGTGGGGTAGGGGGGAGAGGGGTGAGGAGGCTTGAGGAGAGGGTTTGAGATGAGGAAGGGATGGGGAGCTGGGAAGGGATGTGTGAGGCTGGGAGGGAGGTGAGGAGCTGTGAGGAGAGGGTCTGGGGTGAGTGCAGAGGCAGTGAGGAGCTGGGGAGGTGGGTGAAGGAGATGAGGGGCTGAGGACGCAGGGAAGCAGAGAGGCAAGAAGGTTTAGGCTGAGGAAGTAAGGAAGGGATGAGGAGCTGGATAGGGAGATGTGGGGTTGGGAAGGAGGTGAAGAGCTCTGGGGAGAGGGTTTGGGATGAGGGTGACATGGGACTGTGGAGGTTGGAGAGAGTGAATTGGTATGAGGGAGATGAGGCTGCAATGGAAAAGGGATGAGCAGGGAGACAAGGGACTGTGGAGGAAGGATTGGGGAGAGGGCCATGGGCTGCAGAGGTGGGGAAGGGATGAGGAGCTGGGGAGGGTAATAGGGTGGGCAGGAGGAGGGGATGGATGAGAGGCTGAGCAGGTGGAAAGGCTTGAAAAATTGGGATGTCTGGAGTCTTAAGTCTTCCTAATGAGGTGAAGATAGGATGAGGAGGTGGTTGAGGGCTCCCTTGTAGCTCTGCTGGATGCTGGATGTGCTGGAAAGGGCTCCTCAGAGATGTGAAAGTTGGAAATTAGCTGAGCCCCTCAGACTTGGGCCTTGAGGTTTCTCTGCCCCTTCAGAATGTGCGTGTTTGACCTGTAACTGGAGCTCAGGGCTTAACTGTGAAGCAATTTGATGTCTCACCTCAGTGGGAGGGAGAAGTGGCCTCTTGTTAAACCCTTGCAACACTCACAGGTATCTTACCTAAAAGCTATGGTTTTCTGGGAGCTTCAGATGTTTCTTATCAGTGATTAGAGCACCTGAGAGCTGCAGGCTTGAAATGGTGGTGTCTGCCTTTGGCAGTGCATGAACTGCTTCTGACCTTGAAATACTGTTTTGGTGGCAGTCATTCCCTGTTCTTATGAGCCCTACAACTCTAGTGTTTGGAGGATTGGCTTCTGTCAGTGTCTAAGGAGGGAGCAAATGATCTAGCACAGGGTACAGTAACAGGTGGATGTTGCTGGGAGTTGGCTCCTGCAGCTGGTTACACGGAGAAAAGTGGAGTTGCAGAGGCTGGATGCCTGACAAAGTGAGTCCTTCCTACCTTGCAGAAAGGTGTTGCAAGAAGCAGATTGATAGCAATAGGCAGCACAGAAAAGGTGGAGATCTGAGGTATAAACTGCAATCTTAGAAGAACTTATGAGAAGAAACATTGCAGTTACAGCGTGTATTTGTAATACTGTGTGAAAGCTGGTCTTGGTATGAGCTGCATCACGTTCCACTTCCCTGGGTCAGACAGTGCTACTAAAATATTTAATGAAATATGGCTTGAGCTGGCACTTCAGCTGCAAGCAAGAACTAGGGAAATACTTGCTGCTTTCTTTCACCTCAGGCTTTTCCTAAGCACCTGGCAAAAGGGGTTGTGGAGATATTTCTGCTGTGTAAAATGCAGAACCTGAGTAGCCTTCTTCCCGTGTGCTAGAATTGGAAGAGATAAGGTCTTCCTCATTAGGTTTGTTTAATGATTATACCAAATGGCAGAAATGTTCAACAGGACTAAGTGTTCCCTTCCTAAACAAGGAAAAAGGGTGTGAGATAAGGGATTAAGGCTTTTTAGCTGACAGTCTGGTTGCAAATGCTCCCCAAAGTGTTTTTACTGTAATTTTAAGAAGGTAATAACATCTTCTTAGGCTTCTAAACCAGCATTGAGTAGTCCTAGAGTCAGCCAAAGACAGCTGATGGGTTCCCATGCCTGTCAATGGTAGTGGCAGCTGCTGTCTTGGAAGTGAGAGCTTCATTCCAGTATTAATGAGATTAAATCGGGTATTTAAGGGGCTTTTCATGACAAAATAACAATTTCCATGATCTAATGGATGGGATCAGTGGAACAATGTCTATTTTCGTTAGCTGCTTGCACTCTCAGAGGCCAGTTCACATTAATCGGCTCATGCCTCCCTGAGCAAGGAGGTGACAGCAGTTCCTGCATTGTACCCAACCAAGGCATCTTGAGTAAAACTGAAAACTTCGGGTTCTATAGATACCTCTTACCTAACGCTGGCTCCTGTTAGAACCTGCTGCCCTTTAGGAGCTCCTTGCTGTGTTAGAGAGGAACAATGTCTGCTAACACAATCTTGCTGGAATTCTATTGCACCCAAAAAGCACCTCCTTTTTGCAAAGCTGAAGTGTGTTCTTAGCCTAGTACTGTGTTCAGCTGGCAAGGAAGTGTCTTCTACTTAATAATGAATGGGTGGTGTATTTAAGACTGTTTTGACTGAACTGGGAACTTGCTGCTGCTTCTGTCTCCAGCTTACCAGAAAATCATGAAGTGCAACACTCAGGTAACCTTTTGGTGGTGCAATGCAAGTCTAATGTTTATGTGGCTTCCTTGGAAGCTCAGTATGATGCAACTCAAACTATACCCATGTTTGAGTGCACGTGAC